TAAAATAAATCTAACTTCAAGAAATATAATTATATTCAAATACAAAAAAAAGTACATTACTAACCTGTGTGTGTGTGTGTGTGTGTGGAAAAATTGATCTATTTTAATTAGTGGTTAGATGGATGAGACTAAATTATTTTCTTCATCGTAGAGATCTTTCAGTATTATAAAAGTTATTTTTTTTTAGTTAAAGTTACATATTTTGTTTCAGTTCGACGTTTTACAGCAGTATATTTACAGGTTTGAATCATCAAGCGATCAGCTGGTTGGGTGTGAAAAATAAATGCATGACAATAAACTAATATTCATCTAGAATCTTTTACTCTAATTAAGATAAGGAAAAGTGTAGAGTCGAATGTAGATATGTAGACGAAGCTTTATTGAAAACATTGGGCAAGGATTTAATATCTATTTTATTCTATTTTTATAGTGTATAATAATTATGTTTGTATTATGTTTTTTTTAGCAGAAGAAACATCAAAATCGTCAGCGTCGAATGAGCGTGGAGAGAATCCACGTATAAGTATGACAATACCATCGGTTAAACCTCGTTCATCACCTCGATCAAATTTTCCATTTTTATCTTCAACAACTACAGCAGGGACAGTGACACCCACATCAGCCATAAAAAGAGATAAAAATTTCACATGAGCCGTCCAAAGCTCCGTCCTATTGAAAAACGTGAAATAGAATACAAAAAAAAATATTTATACTGATAAAATTTATGTGAATATGTGGGATACAAAATAAAACAATATATTTTACTTTTGTTAATATTTGATGGCAATATAAATTGTTTGGTCTTTCGTTTAACATTTGTGCGCTTTCATTTCTTTTTAGTTTTTTATTAATATAAGAACAAAACCTTGTTTTTTCTTCTATTCTTTCCAATACTACATACATATTTATACAGTGATTTATTGTTTGTACAAAATAAGTTTTTTTTTTTTCGCTTTTCTTGTTGATCTCAAATCTTGAACAAGTTTTTTTTTCTTTTCCTTTTTTGTTTTATCAAGTTCATATGCACAAAACATTTTTTATACCCCTCACACTATACGCATAATATCCCATTTCAGATGTACACAAAGCTTTTTAAAAAAAAAAACAATATTCATTCCAATTTTTTTTTGTTTTTTGTTCAAAATATATTGTTTGATACATTTTGATATTCAGTAATTCAAGTAATCATCTTTTTCTCTTTTCATACTCATATGAATACATCAGGTTAGTAATGTACTTTTTTTGTATTTGAATATAATTATATTTCTTGAAGTTAGATTTATTTTATGTGACTTTAAATGAACTAATTATATACTTTGTTTTCACCTATGATGTTATTTGTATTTGTCGAATATTTTGTCGAACAATTTTTGTTTTTGTTTTTTTCTTTTTAAATTATACTAAAAGAAAGATCAACTACATACATACACACACATATATATATATACATATATATACCGAAAACTCTTTTTTGAATTTGTTTTTATTTGTCTAATTGAATGAACTTTACAAAGGATCCCGTTTTCTTTATGAATTTATTAATGTTTCTTTTTTCTTTTTTTCTTACTGTTTATCTGATAGATAGTTCATACTGATTTGTTGATTTTTTTTTTCTTCTGCAATATACATATACAAACACATTTAGAGCGGCATTTAATGTTCTATTTCATTCTAATGTTCCTTTCTTTGCTTGATTAGACAATGAGCACATAGAGAACGATAATCTTTGTCGTTTTTCTTTTATTTTTGTTGCAATATAATTTTCTTCTTTTTTTCTTTTTTTTTGTATAATTGCAGAGTAAACGAACTCTACAAATTTGTTATTAAATATTTCGTAAAAACAATATATTTAGATATGAAAAGAATTGAAGAAAACTTACACTAGGTCTTTTCCCGCTGTTGATACGGAAGACAAGATGTGCACTGAATGCGATCCTAATACTTCCAAAAATCTTCCTAAATCGAGACTTTTCTGGAAGTTCTTGCATCTATGATGATTCTGCTGGTTAACAATTGAAAATGCATCCATAATGTGGCGCTCTACTCTAGCGCCATCTTTCAGAACATAATAGTTAAGCACTAGTTTTAGTATTATTTTTTACTAGAATTTTAGTATTTATTTTCCTTGAATAATAAAGCGAACGATTTCATTAGTAACATTGGTGTCGAGGATTTTTTGTCAATTCATTATTGGTTTTTCTTTCTTAGTGATACGCTAATGGGTGAATAACTGATGAAGAATACGACAGGAAAATTGATTAAGAAATTATCTTTCTTCATTTCATAAAGTTTAGTAGTTGAGAGTGGACCTCAGAAGTTGTTCGCGAGCAAGTCTTGAATATTTTCTTTGAGTCGCATACGTTTTAAAAAATTATTTTTATTTTTTTTTATTGCGCAGAATATATTCTTTGTCCTAGTCTTTTATTGTCATTGTTTCTAATGAGAGCACAAGTTGTCATCCACATATGCATTTTGTTTTTTGAAATAAGTATGTTAAGTCTAAAGAAGAATCAACAAATTTTCTAACACTCGTAAAGTTTGTGTTTTACCCCTTTGATTATCAGCAACAAGTTTGATCTTCAATCATCAGTCAGCACACAAATTACAAAAACAAATATCTCAAGTGTTGCACAACAATGTACATGTGCATGTATAATTCTAACAAAGATTTTTCTCTGTGTCTTTGTCTCTTAAATACGTGGTTTAAACATTTTGTCATTGGAAATTTCTCTTTGAAGTAGAAATAACTCGTGTGTGCAGCATAATAGTATCCAATAAACCATACTATATTTTCAGGTAGCTAGTATTGTGCTATACTTGATTCGTCAATCAAAATTATCTGCAATTTTTTTGTTTATGGCTATTACTTTTCGTAATAGTTTCCTCTAGAGTCCATTTTAATAAACATTCCGTCGAAATTATAACTGATCATGATTCTATAACTAACTGGACGTAATGTACAAGTTTATTTATTATTTTGATATTCATTTAGATATAATTATAGAAAAACTTAATAATGTCTAAAAAACGTAAACCAGATACGTTTTTGGACGACGAAGCACAAGAAAATTCCGATGAAGAAAGTGATACTGAATCAAAACAACGTGCTGCACTCAAAAAACTAAAAGCAAATCGTCCATGTATGTACATTTTATTTAAAAGAAATTGTTCCTCGTTCAAGTTTAGTACTATCTTTTCAGAGAGCAGGCAGATAGATACACTACGTTATGTTTCTAATTTTGTTCTAATCAATACATATTCAAAGTATTGAAGCAACCAAATACTTTCCGAACTGTTTCATTATTGAACGACAGAGGGGATATCTTTTAAACAAATGATTGTTAGAGTGAAAACAATCGAAGAAAGAAATCATATTTGTAGCATTTGATTTAAATATTTAGTATCTGACGACGAAGAAGAAGATGAGGAGGAAGAAAATAGTGAACAAGCAAAACGAGGTTAGTCTCTCATTTAGAATTGAAATTAGATTAGTCTCTTTAATAAAAATTGACTTGTTTTAAGAATTTGCCAATTTCATCAACGAAGATGATGAGGAAGAAAATAAAGGTGAGTAAATATTAGTTTAATAAGCTGCACTTATTAAACAATATTTTAATGTTTTTTTAAATCGTTGTTTCAGTTGTTGACTCGGGC